CACTGGATGGGCTTCAAGGTCCCTTCCAACCTAAACCATTCTATGATATAGATGCAAAACTGTCACAGATATCCACTTATTTGCTTATAGACACTAAGCAAGAATAAGTCTTTTAACTTTTTTTTATAATACAGTTACACCACCTCTAAATTTATTATTCCACTATATTAACCTGAACTAAACAAAAAAAAATACAATAACTGGATGGGAAATTCCACTGATAACTCAGGAACAACTAAAATTGGCACAGCTTTCAACATCCAGCACCTGTTGGATGCAGCTTTGCATAAAGCTTACTTAACGATAGCCAAAGACATTAAACAGGACTAGAACGTGTATTTCTGTTTCCAGATCACGGACTAAGGAATACCACTTCAAATAAAGCACGTAAGGACAGAATATGTTACACTGGTGGCACTTTTCTTTCAATTGTAACACAAACAAAAAACTAGATGGAGACAATTACAGTGATTGCAAGATTTTGAACTTATTCTACAAAATAACAAGTTCTCTATAATTTCAGAACAGACACATAATAACTAAGTATTCAACTAAAGTATCATTTCTGCTAACAAAGGGTTGGTGTAACTTGTCTCTAGCTTTTTTTCCGCTGCTCATCTAAACTTGACGGTCCATCGCTATGCAAAAGACGTCACCGGAGCCATCTCCACTCCTGACGTCAGATTCTGCATCTGACAACTCCTCCCTCACTTGTGTACTATGGAACTACTCAGAGGAATCAGAGGGACCTCTGCTTCGTGAGGGCAAAATACACATTTGAACTAAATAAAAGAAAGCTTTAAATACAGAGATTTTTGCATCATTTAACAAAATGGAAGAAAAATCTATTTTTATTTAAATGCTTGCTGATAAAGATTAGAGAATGAAAGAGCTCTCCAAGTCTAAATATTGCAATTCTTCAATAACCTGGCTAATTGCTAAACACAAGCCTAAAGCAAATGACTTATAACAATACAAATCCTAAGTTACAAGACAATAATTTACAACATACTATTTTAACCATATAACATCAGAGATCAAACCAACATACATTAAGCACAAGTAAGACTGCCGTTTCAGGAAGTCAGGGGTTTTTTTTGTGGGGTTTTGTTGTTTGGGGTTTGGGTTTTTTAATTTATTTACCTCAAAATTCTCACTGACTTCTTGCATCATTTTCAATTTGGTTTCATCAGCTGAAAAAGGAAGTTCAAGCAAAAAAAAATTAAATGTAAAACTACATCATGAAGGAAAACACCAGGCTCATTGATCAAAGAAGCAATCAGATCTTATCAGTTTAGCTATCACCGCCCAATTATAAGGCACACAATTCTCACAACCAACCACCACACAACTGCACACGCACACAGCTCGCTCACTTTGGCTCATGCAAGTATTACTCATCACTTTGCTTCTTCAAAAATCAATACTCAAACAAAATTCGAAGTGAATTCAACACACATTTATCAACTGCCTAAACAATACTCAAACTACTGAAGAACTGTAACTTTCAACAGAAAAAAGTTATCTTACGTGTATTGACATCTGTAAGAGCAGCCACAAACTGAAGGTATTTTTTCATCAAAGTGGTTTGGTCCACCACCGTGGGCCCCTGTGCTGAAACGAATGCCATCTTGGAGGAGAAGGGATCAGCGTTCAGTACATAAAGCCAAAACTAACACACCTACAAAAAAAAATAAAAAATACGTGTTAGATTACATGGCTGGTTAACAGCAGCTACCACATCACCTACAGCCATTCGTTTGATGTATTGAGGAGCACACATCTTTTCCAAACACCACGGCTGTCACAGTTAGTTAACCTTAACGTCGTTAGCCCGGGTTGAGCTAGCCCAGGTTGGGTTGAGCTAGCCCAGGTTGGGTTGAGCTAGCCCAGGCTGGGTTGAGTTCGCCTTAACCTTGACTTAGTCCAGGTTGGGTTGAGTTAGCCTAGGCTGAGTTAGCCTTAAGCTGGAGTTAGCCCAGGTCGGGTTAGGCTATACGGCCTGGCACATACAGCACTGGGCACGACAGGAACACGCTTCCAGGGACAAGTGGTCACAGGGCTCTCCTCGCCGCAGCGTGAACACCCCGGCTCTGTTCGGTCCGGCCTCCCCGGGCGACGGATCAGGCCCTGGGCTGCTCCCGGCCCCGCACCCACCCGCGGAGCCCATTGTATGCCAAAATTAACCAACAAGTCTGAAAAGTCTCTGGCTTCCAGTCATTCTGCACTGATTGTTGGTCCAATAATCACCCAGGCTTCATGAGCCTGCACCCAAAAGTATTCAGAAAAAAGCAATCCTATATACTTTCTACAAAATAGAGACCTATTGGCTTTATCCTGTGGATTGTCACATGAAACGTTTTCCTTTTGTCCAGCATGAAAAGGACCAAAGGGATATATTAATGAACAAATCTTTTTCCTTGTGAGACGAGTCTTTCTCTGTGATAATGAGCAGAAAAGTATTGGGTGAAAGATCTGATAGGAAGGATGACAAAGTGACAGGATGGGCACTGCTGTGCTGGCCCCAAATCATGCTGTGCCAATATACCTCCACCATTAGGTGGCCCCAAGTATAGATGGGTTCTTACAGTTACTCAGTCATCACCAGTGTTGCCTTAGATGAAACAGATATCTTAATTCATCGGCAACTACGCTGAGATCTTGACTTGCTCTATTTGCTCAGCATACGACAAGTAACGGATGATGGATTTGACTTTGTGTCCACAAGGAGGGCCTAAAATTGTCCCTCCTCCAGACATGCTTTGTATTTGCTGGGAGTTACCCTCCTGGTTTGCATCAAGTACCAGGTACAACAGCTGCACTACCTACACCACCACAGAAGTTCATTTTTCTCTTGCATGAGAAGTTCAGTGCATAAGGAGCAATACATAGCCTAATAACAAAAATTCCAAAATAATGGCTCCTTCCCCAACTCCATGAAATCAGTTAAGGAAGAACATAAACATTGAGAGATGTTGGTGCAAAAGGCCAGAATTTGTTTTACATCATTTGAGTCTGATCACTTTTGGAGAGCACTGTCTGCAGATTTATGATTCACCAGGTAGCACTAAGGATTTCTAGGCAGTTTGGCAACAGCCTCTTAGATTGTTATAAAAGAGAATGGAAATTGAAGCTGAATAGGATGCCACAAAGTAATTGGGTTATTAACTGCTTCCATTCTGAATGACATGCAGGTGCATCCAGAAAGTGCTCTTTCCTATTATTTTTTGGACACACTGCACCAGATACTTCCAACACATTTCATTGAATGCCCTACTTAGAAGAAAGGCGCTTTATTCTCCCCATTCAGGAGACTATCTGCCAAATCGAGGTCCTTTTCAACCACTTGCCGAAGGCTCTATGATTCATTTAGAAAAAAAGGAGACATTACATCTTTGACAAATTTCAAGCTAAGTAACAGGCTTTTGCCTCCCTAAATTTCCTGTTTTCTTTCAGTTTTTACAATACCTTTCATTTTGGCATGTGGTCACAAGGAGACAACTACTGGGTATGACCACTTAGAAACTGCTGCTTTTCAAGTGACTGCAGTAGGAAAACAAAACTGCTGTGTGCACGTCAGGGCTGGTGTGTCCATGTGCACTTGTAGGGTTAGTTTTCAGTGTTGCACCTTTGAAACAAGCAGACTCTACAGGACCAAAAGTCATAACCAAAAATCAAATCAATCCTGTCTCGAGGAACTCTGCTCCCTCACTTCTCGCTTTTCTTTTTTTCTGGTTTTAAGGGATGGTAAGGAGGTAGGGGGTATAAATACAAGCAGCCGGTAGGCAACAGTGGAAATAAGGCTGAAGATTAAAGATTCATAGTTGTCCAAGTGGTGGATTCTATTCTGGACTTTGAATAAATTTTGCTCCACTCTCACCAAGATGCCGAGTATCCCCTCTCCCTTTCTCCACTTATTGCTGGTGTCCCCAGAAAGGCTGCGATGTGTCCCACAGTTACGGTTAGCTGTTCAGTAACAGCTCGGGCTTTGACCAGCCAGCAGGGTCATTCAGTGAGGGCGAGACAAGCGGGGGGGCGGGGGGGGGGGTCTCCCCCGGGCTCTGCTGAGACAACGCGGAGGGTAGCCTCAGTCTTTAGGGACTGGAAACCCCTGTGCCAGATTCCATCAAATCCCGAGCTTTTCTCTATCAACCCAAAACTCTGAACTCGGGGCCGTTCCTTGTGTTGTGGGATGGGAACAACAGAGTTGTTGCTCGGACAGTAATGTTACAGTTATTTCACACAGTCCTTTTGCATCCAGATTTGTGCAGCACCTGCGATCTGGGGAGTAAAATGCGGGCACTAAGTAGGTGCCTCGGGTTCCCCTTCCAGCCCGTCCACGGTGACGGGTGCAGGAGAGGCAGTGCAGGGGTTACCTCGCCCCAGCGCTCCCCCTCCTTATGGCCGCGGAGGGGTGAGGAACGCACCTTCTGAAGCTCAAAGACTCAGGTCCGCATTAGCACCCTGGTGGCTGCTGAAAGAGAGAAGGGAAGAACCGTGAGAACCCCCCGGCTCTGCTCCCCGTTGCTCGCCGGCGAGAGGACCGCCAGGCTGAGCGCTGAGCCGGGGAGGGAACGTGCTCCGTCTGGAGGCCAAGAACCAGATCCTGTTCCCAGCTCTGCCCCCATTCACAACTTTCAGTGGTAGTTGCCTTTCCTTCTGTTTTGGGATTTTGGGGTCAGCCCAGCTCTGCCTACAAAAAACCTCATCGAGATTTTTGTGATGTTCTAGTCTGAAGCTCTCTTCTACTATTAACATTTCCCGGACCCGGTCTAACATGTTGGTTAGTGCTACTTGTTTGAACTCATACATATATGCAACAATTTCTGTTCCAGGTTTTTAAATGGGGGAAAAAAAAAAAAAAAAAGGTGGCAAAGTCTTTGCTGGGATGAGTGTCATTGGAGTCATGTAGCTACAGCTGACTAGTTAAAATGTGTAAATAAATAAAATAAATAAAAAATGCAATACAACAAGGTTTGGTTTGGGTTTTTTTTCTTCTTTCCACAGCAGAGTATGGGCTGGAAATAACCAACAATGGTCCCATCACAACGGGAGCTCAAGCTACTGTTCGCGCCAGCCTAAGTATGAAGAATGACAATGTCACATCAAACTTGTATCACTTTAACTGGGTTTATGCTCCTCTGATTCTGATTGAGAAATCCGAACAGTGGTTTAACTCCGTGATTAATGTGACCGGTGAATTTCCTGGGACTTTTCCTGTATCTGTCTGGGTGACTCATAGGAACTGTTGGTTATGTCGGCCGGTTGCTAGAAATGTCACCGTGCTTCAGATTACAGGTAAAGTGGCTTTACAACTTCCATGTCTTAATGGAGCACCCATCAGGATGCCTGCTGCCTTTGCTGGCGTCAGAAAAATGAAGGCCAGGCATAAATATGACTCGGTTTGTGTAGCCTTGGAGGGAAGGTGGGTTTGGACGGGCATTTGCACTGTGGGCTACCTACATCCAGGCAGCGAGTGTGACCCTGCCCGTGTTTCCCTGCCTCTGTCACACACAGAAACTGAGCTAGAACCCCGATGCTTCAGTAGCTGCAGCTCACGCATCGGTGCTGCTCAGTGGTGTCCGGACTCCCAGAACAATGCTTCCTGTACTGACCTCCAGCACTTCTCATCCTAAAGTTAGGATGAGCGGTGACAATCTACTGATTTTCCCTGTTGCATGACATAGCAAAAATTCAGGCCATCAGCACAAGAGAGCCATTACATTTTCTTTTAAAGTTCTGAGTGTACTGAAATTGGATGTGAAGTCACAGCTGCATTACTTAATATTGCTAAGTGCAATTTCAGCTCACTGGGAATATTCATAACCATAAACATGCATTTTTTGACAAATTGACCACTGCTGTGGTATGGTTAACCTGATCTCTGATACAGGGATTGACATGAAATATCACTTGACAGCTTCCCACAGTCCCTTCTTTCAGAGATTAATAACACGTCCCTGTGCTCTACTTACGCATGCCAAAACAGACCCCGCTCCCAGCCGAAGGTGAGGACATGCATGAGGACGAAAGAGCTAACCGTAGGGCATAGCTGAAGTTTGGGGGAACAGCTATTGAGATTTTCCTTTGAGAAACACCAAGCGTATTGGCTAAGTCTCTATAAAAGCATACATGAGATCTTTTATCGGTTAAGAACTGCAGCCCTTCTGAATATCTGCTTACTCCTTTCTCGCTTTGCACTCTCTTCTATTCTCATGCCACAAGCAAACGGGAGAGCAGCTTTCTATAGCTGTGAGAGGGAAGATCCCACCGTACCTTTCTGCCTTCCCCGAGCAGGAGCACCCACGGGGGCTTCACAGGGGCCCACAGGTAGTTGCCAATAACTCATACAAATTACAGCTCCACTTAGTTCTGCTTACCAGCCCCAAGCTGAAGCGGCAATTGTGATCCTTATTTGTGCCTCATCTAGAGAACAGTTGACCAGATTTAATGAATTGTTAACAAGGTAAGAGTCTGTTACTGGTAATTAATATCCCATTAGTTTTATAAGGAGCTGATAAGTGTATCGTCATAATACCTCTTTATTCATCAGTTAGAAAGGATTTTTAGATCAACCTTTGCCAGTCCTTGTAAACAAACTCGAACATGGGATCTCTTGGAGATGTCAAAATCAAAATTTCACCCTTTCTGTATTGACAGTATGTAGCACATCTATTATTTGTAGTAGTCAAATTTTCATTTCTGCGGAAGTAGCTAAAACTAAACAAACAAAAAAACCCCACAAACAAACCGACCCCACCACCCCAAACATGAAGGGTGTGTATACTGGTTTGACTCTGAATGCCTTGATCTAGATACTTGATGTTAATCCTAGTTCTTTTCAAATCAATAGTAAAAATTGATATTGACCTCAATCAGTCCAGGATTATTTCTCTTCGTTCTAGCAGCTTTATCATGACCCGTTGTATAACCCTAAATAAGGAATTTAATCTTTGTGCCTCACTAACACATGTATCAACACTGAGTAATAGATATAAAATACACTTAACCACTTGGACTAGGTCACACAAAAGGACTTATGCAGTACATTTTAAGTAATGTTTTGTTACTCAGAGCATGCTATGAGAGTGATATGTGCTGTCATTCTTTCCCCACCTTATTACTCTGCAGAATTTATCACAGGGAATCTTACCATTGCCCAGATAGAAGACAGTAGATTTATCACGCGTGGTTCTAGTTCCTCCACGGGCGCCGTGACCCGGATTTCTTTCTGTCTTCATGACCCAAGTCATTACTTCAAGTCAGCATCATTTGTCTACAGCTGGGATTTTGGAGATGGGTAGGTGTGCTTACTTTGTTTGCTTTAATTTAAGATGGCTCTGAGTCAGATGCCCATCTAGAGCAAAATCCTGATTAAATCATAGGACAAAGCATACACCTTTGTCAGTTGGTACACTCTTAGCATGTCAGCCAAATGGATCATGAAAACTTTGGCACAGAAGTCACTGTGCACTCACAAACAAGTGATGTTTTAAAGACCTACATCTCTTGTTGAAATATGTGCTCAGGTGTATTACTGTGCGTGCAATGAGCAGAACTGAACTGAATGAACAGGAAAAAGTAACTCACTGTAAATTGTTACTCTAAAACGTCATTACGCCTGCAGATCTCCATTAGCAGGTGGTTGTCACTGAATATGTGAATAATTTGTGCGCTTAAGGAGAATGGCAGCAGTATACTGTCTTGTGGTTGGGCAGTAAGTAGCTGTTACTGCGACCAGCTACCCATAAATACACCACAGCTCGGGTGAGGAGCTTTGGAAAGTGGGTAGGTCTCAAACAACGAGGAGGTGCACATTAACACACACCTAATGCTTACCTAGGAACAAAATGGAGCGGGGAAAAAAAAGCCCAACATAGCGCGTGTCAGTAATCAAAGTGTGGGCAGTATCTAGCCCTTAAGCCGCTCTGCCGCAGGGAGGAAAAAGGACATTCAGTAATTTTCCTTCTCTGAGGACAAATATATGACCAATACAAATAAGGGTGTGCAAACAGAAATGTAAGATTTAGTCTTTGAATACTACATTTTTTCTTTCTTTCTTTTTTTCTCTCCCCCCCTCCCCTTATTGCTTCAGTTAGCTTATAGCCCACCTGCTATAAAGGTAGTGTTCATAATGTACTGACTTGAATTTTGTGAGTTCTTTCAGCATTATCTTTAGTCTCTTTGATTAAAAATGCATAAATATACTCTGGGTCTTACGCTGATTGTAGTTTTATGGATAATGCCACAGACATTCATCCTCATTGATACGGACATAAAGTAGAATTAGAATCGCAGTTGACTGTAGCATTGCCTATAAAGAAAAGATATTCGAGCTTGCTTCTTTTTAAATCAGAAATATGCGAGGACTTGGTAAAAGACAATTTTGATGCTAAATCTTTTCATATTACACAGAGTTTATCAGATTACCAAGGAACCCTTTGTCTACTATAACTGCTCTACCATGGGGAATCGCACAGTGCATCTGAAAGTCGTAGCTGAGTGGGAGCAAATTGGAAGCGTCTTGCGTGAAAGAGAAACGATGCAGAAAACTGGTGATTTTACCACTGCTCTGGAGCTGTTAGGTAATTATAAAATATTTTGCATACTCAAAACAGAATTTGCTATATGTGTACAGATACAGTCTAGCTTTAATGTGATAATATGATAATACAACCTCAGCATTATTTCACATGCAAGGACTGGTCAACAGTATTCAATGAAGAGTTTCCATTGCAAAGTGGATTTTGTGCTGTTCAAGTATATAAAATCTTCTGTTTCTTTTTCATTTACCAAAAAGTTTCACTGGCTTTTGTAAAAGTCTCACGTGCACTTAAAACTTGCAATAAAGTGTTTACTGTAAGTTATGAAGGATTTGTTTGTTTAATTTATGCTGGCAAGCCCTAAAAAATAAGCATTAGGAAAGTCTGATTGATTTGATCAGCTTCTGGAGTAAATAAACATACAAGTAAAAATGCAAAGGATTAATAAAGTAGTTGGTTTTAAACTAAAAAGAAATCACAAGACATTCAGAAAACTTACATCAGCTCTACCGGTAGAATTCCTTTTTGGGTGTGAGACAAGTATTATCATTTGTGGGAGTGATGGAACTAAAATTTGTGAACTCTCTGAAAACAAACCTTCACTGGAAAACCAGTTAATTTCAGGTTTATCCATGGAGTGTGACATGCTTTTTTTCTTCCTCTCAGATGCTGTTAAGAGTATTAATGTAGTAGGCTCCAGAGAGACTCACGTAATGGAAAACTTGAGTTTATCTCTTCATATCAATGGCACGTAAGTAGCAAACACAACTTCTTCTCCCCAGAAGCATTGTCTAAGTGTTTTTCCCCACTGTTTCCTTAAAATAGTCAGTTGCACCCCACAGAACTGTTTCTTAAAACAAAAAGAAATTTCCTTTGAACAAAATACTGCTGAATATTGCACTTTCCTGACTCGAAATACCGTGAACTCTAAGAGGCTGAAGGAGCCCGCATCTTTACAGAAAAGTAGAACCCTCCTATGTAAAGCAAATATTAGTTTTGTATCTTTGTTAAGAGAATATTAAAAGAGAACTAGCCAGACAAAGATAGTTGAAATAATTACATTTTAAAACTTCTGTATGAATTTTTCTCCTTGACCAATGTCCCCAGCACTAAACTGAACTGCAAACGAAAGCACAGGGGCTCTGTTGAATAGCAGCCATCCTCGACTGGCACCCGGCAGTAGGGGGGTTGAGGAATAGTTTTGGCAAAGTTAAGATTGCCACAAGATTAATAAGACAGAGAGGCTGCATGCAGTGAGGCTTATAGGAATGTAGGAGAGTCATGAGCACCTTGATCCCAGCACAAGCCTTCTCAGGCTGCAGTATTTAGACACATGAGATTATTTCTTTTTGTATGGCAGAAGCATTTTAAACATCATTGAAACACTCACTGAAACACTCCTTCACCATGGAGTGTGAATGGAGAAAATTCCATGACTGCAGAAGTCATTTATTCTCCTGAAGAGTGACACTTTTGTGTTCTGTTATTGGGAGCTGTTTAGCCTAATGCTGGATTAAAAAAAAAAAATCAACCAAAACCAAACCACACCAAAACACCCAAACAAAAAGATCAGTGCTGTTAGGGTGGTAGGATGGAGCGAGCAGCACCCAGCGCAGAGTCCTTTGCCAAAGGCATAAATTGTCCCAACAGACAAAGCAGCAGAGTTTGCATTCAGAAAGTGGATGGCACATTGGCAGGAGTGGAAACCGGAGATGGCATACGAGTAAATACAGCCAAAACCCACTACAGGCAAACTTGAGATCCCTAACAGCAGGCTTGGTTTTGCAATGGCCAATGTTTGCCAGACCTAACCTCTGAGCCACGGGACTGGGCAATGACAAAGGCCTGAGAGATGGGCTATCAAAAACAAAGGTAGAAAATGAGCTGAACACATAAACATGCTGCTTTCTTTAGCAGAGACTGTCCTAAAGAGATAAGGAACAAAATACTAGTAAGACAGGGTAAAGAAAAGCTCTGTTGTCAGAATCAAAGTCCATCGAGCATAAGGCGAATCCAAGCAGAATAAGCTGGAACAAGGGTCTGGAAATGTAAAGAACAGTCACCAACTAGACGTGGTGAGAAGACATGTGGCCATAAAACCGATAGCACCTAGATTGCCTGATAGGAAATGAAAACCTTTTTGTTATTGTAAGGGAGTACTGTGATCCTTGCTATTTATTTACCTTTTCCAGCTATTAGTCCATTGTTCAGAGCTCATCTTACATTCTTTCCAGTTTCAGTTGTTAGAGGTTTTTTAATCAGAAAAGCCTTGGGTGTGCTTCAGTAACGCAGACAGTGATGTCTTCTGTGTGAGAAGAACAAAGGAAAAACAACCTATACTCCCTTGGCAGTGCAGGGAAAAAAGATTCCTTTTATCTTTATTGGAGAAGGACTAAGGGGTTTTCTACACACAATGGCCTTCCTGTGACCCACGCAGGTATTTCGCTCTCAGCTGAAAGGCTCGCTCTTATAGAAGCATCACAACAAACTCTTTCAATTGAAAAATACTCTGAACTAAATAATTGTGCGATTAATTTCTTCTCTATTTGTATTTAGATTAACTTCATTATTTCCAAAATTGCTATGTTACTTTAACCGAGTGATTCATCAGCTCTTAGCTGAAATTTTTGCAAAGTTTTCACCTAATTTTGTTTTTCTTTTTGCTCTTGTCATTTCAGCCCGCCGCTGGCGTTGTGCTGGCTGATAAAGTCCGAGTGCATTCCACTTGATGGTGAAAAATGCCATCTGGTGGTGATTAATGGCTCCTGCTACAATCTCAGCCATACCTTCAGCGATGCCGGACAGTACTGCCTCAGCGTCAGGGTGCAGAACGGCGTGACGATGCTGCAGACATACCGTGAAATACAAGTGTGGCCGACAGGTGAGGAGCTGGTAGTCGGAGCAGCACGGAGCCCCCCGCTGTCGGGGAACCGAGTCTCAAACGCGCAGGGACAATGCCTGGCCCTTCTGGAAACCGGCACGGATCCCTAAGAGCACAGGAAGCAGGAAAGGAACGGAGAGCCCATGGGGTGCCTGCTGCCATT